GTGCTAACTGTGTGACACAGTTAGCATGATTAAGATGAAGAGGAAAATAATAATGATGAAAATAATAATGCAAAAAATGTCTGACACGTGAAAACAGAGAACAGTGTTAGAAACCAAATGTGGCCTTCTTTGAGTCACACTTTGCAACAAAATCCTTTGCAATTGCTTCAATATCGATTCCAGAACACGTGATAAAAAACAATCGCGTTGATTGAATCTGAATCACAGTTATCACACTGCACTTGACCACCTGGACCCGGTTCCACAGTCGTGGATTAACTTTAACCCTGAGTTAAGGAATTTAACTCAGAGTTAAGAGTTAACCCACGACTGTGGAACCGGGTCCTGGGGTTTTATTTATTTTAACTTTCACCTGTGAAATATGGATGTTTCACGATAATAAACGCTTATCGGACTATATTTTGGACCTCCCAGATAATAAGGTCTTCCAGAAGTTGGGGAGGTCCACATAAAAGTCGGGGGGTGGGGGTCGTGACTCCCCCGACCCCCTCAGTGGTTGCGCCCATGCATGCAAGAATTAAGACCTCTGTTAATTTTTACGAGTGTACCCTCACATTCACGAAAATGACATAAGTCTCAATCTCGCCATGCTCTCTATCCTTGAACCAAATCATTTAGTATACCCGTAACTTCATTCATGTCAATTTTGGTGCTTTTACCACAAAACCCACAATTTTTTTCACATATCTGCCCCCACTATATCACTTGACGAGCCTTGCTCATGCTCATTTCCCATTACAAAACATGCAAAAAAAGTGCAAAATATTCAAAGAATTTTTTCCCCCATGACGATTTTTGCGGATTTTGGATATGTTGTTCTATGACACATACTGCTCATCTGGTGTAAAAAATAGCGATGAAAGGGAAAATAGCGGATTCGTCCAAGAGATTTTTCATTTGCTAACTTGATTACCATAAAACTTGCTATGCTAGTGACGTCATGACAAACATTATTACCCAACCAATGTAATCGCACGTACATGTTGCGGAGTACGTCGCAACAGCGTGTCGAGTAAAAAACCTTGGCGGTGAGTACTGATTACTCATTACTGAGTACTGAGTAGTAGGTTGTGTGCATAATAATATTAATATGTAAATATTAATAATAAATTTATAGATTTCATGTGTCTGAAATAGATATAGTTATTTTCTGAAATATGATTGATGTCACGTTTTTATAAACAACATCGCTGACCAGTGACCTCGCGCACCATCACTGCATCATCGACCTCGCTATGTTGATAGCGTGAATAATGGCATTATTAATATTATTATGGTTACAGAATTAGGTACAATAATTCAACACAACGTAGTAGGTTAATACTGTGCTTACTGTTGGGTTGCTTTACTGTATACTGTGGCTGAGTATGTGGTGTTGTCATGACATAAGTTACTGTTAATGTTACTATTAGTATTACTATTAGTATTAGTAGTAATAGTATTACTATTCGTCTTACCAGGAGTAAGATAATATAGGATCCTATATTATCTTACTCCTGGTATTAGTATTACTATTAGTATTACTGTTAGTGTTACTCACTTACTGTAGTGTAGTGTAGGCTAATCCGCCTATCTAATAGTAATAGTAGGGGCCTATTAGTATTATAATTTATATTACCCCGTACAGACTGCAAATTTGATACCACATCAAACTAATCCAGGAATGACAGGAATGGCCCGGGCCAAATTTTTACAGTGTGTACACGCTAACCCCGTGCTACATATGCGCTAGTCTAGACTAATCGATCTGGCCTCGCAAATGAAGGATCGAGGGCCTGGCCCGTGATCAATTTCGCAATATGCATGCATGCACATGACATAGCCTTAAGCCCGCCGCACACGCTGTGTTTTGTGCTGCGCCATCGGCCACGCGTGGCTGATGGCGCAGCACAAAACACAGCGTG